CCCCAAAACCCCAAAACCCCAAAACCCCAAAACCCCATATAAGAGTTATAGGATGAATTTAAGTAGTCAAAGAAATTAAAATTAAGAATCTCAACAAATTAATATTGAATTCCCTCTTATTATATGTTTCATGTGTTTAATTACTATCTGAGTTCAAGATTTTCCTTGAGTAAGAGCAATAAAGCATATTCTGAATTTGCTGCTGAATCTACACTCTAATGCTGATGCTCAATACTAGTTCTTCTTTTTTGATTAAGTGTTTCTTTAATATTCGAATCTACTTCATTGATAGCACTTTCTATAGTTTTAATTTTGTTACTTTAAATGGTGTCCTTTCTCAATCTCACAATAAGTCTATCCATAAACCTAGCTATTTATTTCTCATCAATCTAACTGAATTTCCTATCAAATTCATTGATTAGTGCCTATTAGCTTTAAAGCGTGTTGAAGTTAGAATTCAGTGATTTGTACTTTTGAGGTAATTGTATCTTATCCATGTCAATATCATAAATTTCTCGGATTATACTAACTAGGTTTTCATTCTTATAAGCTTTAGAGTCGTAAGACGGCATAGCACTGTACTAATTTCCATTTATAGATTATTTCTTATCATTAAGATCAGTTTAAATTTTCTTTGTTGTCTAACCAAGTGTCAGAACATCGTAATTAAGTTCAAGTTTTATACCTCCTACTAATCTTTGAATAGAGCAAACAAGTTTCCAAATAGATTCTGGGGAGATCATCTCGTTATCAGATTTAGATAAGCTTGATAAACTACTCTGTTAGAGATAATCCTAAAGCTATCCTAAGATATCTTGATTGAATTGAAGTCTTTACTCTACTTGCTTTAATTTTTGAAGAGTTCCTAAATCTGAATTTTTGTTTATGTTTAGAATATCTGGGTATGAAATGGATGAGATATTTGAGCTCTCACTCTACACAGTTTGATATTAATTCAAAATTATCTTGTTGCTTTGATGACTTACTATTTTAGCAATACCTTCAATCATCCTATCGTTCACATTATTCAGCTATTCAAAGTTTTATGATATGAAAGTCGAATCTTTTTGCAAAAATTCTTGCGATTATTTTAGGAATTACTGGAACTTTTAATCGTTTAGAAGTACAGCTCCGTCCAAACAGAGACTTGTAAGTTTTCTGCTTGTTTATATCAGAGACCAAGAAAACTGATTTATGCTATCATTGTTTTAATTTTGCTTAAGCAAACTTTAAACCTTATGATAAAGATCTTGATTCTTATGATAGAAGTAAGTCTAAGCTTGATAAAATAAGATCTCCTCAGAAGGTTCTTCTTTAATGCTTGTTTACTTGCTTAATCGACTTTTAGATTAGTTTTTATTCATTCTTGGGGGTTTATGTAACTTATCATCCTTAGCTTGATTCTAAAATACCAGTAGGTAGTTTATAATTGCATCAATATGCCGCATTAATCTTTTGCATTTCTTTCTATACCTAGTTGTTTCTTCCTCTTATCTTTGTTGAGACTCACAATTTGTCTAATTATTAATTGCCTGCTGATCTAAAGTGCTTCTTGTATGATTATTTATAGGATAATTCAATGCTTAGCTATCAAAGTGATTTGCCTAATTAGAAATATGGAAATTGTTTTCTTTATTATAGGAGTGGTTGGCCATTTAAGTGCTTGGTCTTATCATAGACATAGCTGAATGAGACCTATCATTATAGTTAAAAATTTGCTAAGATCGATAAGGATCTTCTACTCCATTTCTCTACTTTCTATTGATCATCTCTTAAATATTTCTTGAATTTGGGATATCCTAAGTTTAGTAGACATTAAAAACCTACTAAGATGCTTGGAAATCAGGGACAAATTGTCTATTATCCTTAATTGTTTTATTTCTATCTAGCTCATTAAAACTCAGCTTAAAATTCTGTGTACTGTTTTGTTTCTAATTATTTGCTCTATTCAAACTCTTTGAATGTCTAGACTAATTGAAATATGGATCATTCATGAATGTTGATTGCTCCTTTAATCTGTAAAATGTTGGATCAATGATGCTAGAATCTCTCTCGTCAATTAGATCGTCTGGGAATCCAGCGAAATAACTTGACTAAGATTACTGTGATGTGCCACCTACTATGTTGTTATAAGACTTTTCTAGTTTTTTAACTCTTTGCAAAAACTCTCTTTCCTTATCTAATGTTTCCTAGGTAGTCACTTTTTCAGTTTCAAGCCTTTTAATCTCGTCAGACTGGTCACTTATTATATCATTCAACCTATTACAATCCTTTTTAAGTAAATCATAAGAATCCAATATAGTGTTCACATCATTCTTGATATGATCAATCTCCTTCTACATATTTTGATTGTCTATAATTAGTTGAAGATAATCTGGATCAGGGTCTGTTTGAATACAAGTATTCTTTAAGCTATATTATTTAGACTCTAATTGTTCTGCTACTTCTTGATTTAAGTTTACTTCAGATTAAAGTTTCATATGAAGATCATATATTTATTGATCCTTTTCATGGCATCTATCTTTGTATTTATTGACCTTTTCCTTTACTTACTCAATCTGGTCATTGAATTGTTCACTGATGTCTATCTTATCTTAATCTGATTCATTTAACTTCTACTCAAGGTGTTTAACAGCATCTCTCCAGTAATCCTTTTGCTTCAGTAATTCATTATTCTGGTCAATCATGTCCGCCATTTACTTTTAGATGATCTCTAAATCTTTGGTAAACAGTTCCACTTGTGTCTAGAGTGAGTTAAGCTAGTTTTCTTTTTCATTCAAATCTTTGAAAATATTCTATTTTTCTGATTCCATATCAATTAGCTCATTTTGATATTTAAACTGTACTTTTAGAAGTTCTTAGTTATCAAGGTAGAGAGTTTGGTATTCATCACATTTTTACCTGTATGCTTTTTCACTTTGATCATATTACTTCTTGATATGAACCATTTATTCCTTTCTGTTATTCAACTCACTTTACATTCTCTTAATCTCATCTCTCAACATATTGTAGAGTTCATTTCGCTTAGATTGGTATAGTTGACTTTGTCCTACTACAACTCCTTTGAGAGGTAAAGTTTGCATCAACTTACTGCTTCCATATTTATAGTTTAGAGTTTAAGCTTATTTATGATACTACTCTATTGATTGAAGTGATGGATTAATAATGCTGTTTTAAGTTCCTTCAAATAAGAGCTAATTAGGCTAAGTTTATGACATATTTAGAGTATTAAACTAGCCAGATGTATTCAGTTGATTCGTGATTTCACTATACTCATTAATCTGCTAGAGAAGTTGATAGCATTCTTCTTTTTGGAGATCATTCATTTACTTCTGAACCATAAGCTGCTCCTTAATATCTCTAAGCATTTCTTCAACATTCTCTTCAGCTTAAATATGCACTATCTGTTCAGTTTTGATAAATGCTTCACATTCATCTTACCATATTTCTTTGATATTCTCACAGGTTTTATCCAATGAATATTGGATGAAAGATCTTTATTATATTTCTTCTTCAACTTATTTATATAGTTTTTCATTTTCTTGTTCCAATGTATCATTCTTCAATCTTTCCTCATTAAGGGCAGTCATTATCTTCTCTATTTAGGTACTTTGCTCTTCATATTCGATAGTAGCAGTCTATTTTTACTAACTTAAGGTGCCTTAGAGTTATTTGATTTCAATCACATGCTATTGAATTACAGATTTAAGAGTTTCTATGTAGCTGAGAAGTTCCTACTCCATTTTTGCATAAATCTCTTGTTTTGAGTACACTTGGCAAATGAAATTCTCTGAATATTACTTTTGATCTTTTAATGCTTAATTTAGAGATTTTATTAAATGACTTAGCGACTAAATTTAGGTATCTTTTTTATCAATAAGTTTCTTTAGATTCTATTCCCTATTCATTGACATTTCTATTCTCTCAGTGTAATCTCTAGCGAGTTCTTAAGATTAATCTGACTATATTAGTATTTTATTCTCATGATCCTTTATAAATAGTTGCATTTCTTCTTTCAAGAATTTAATCTCATCTATTGCATTAAGATAGGCTTCTAGGACTATGTTATTACAAGCATCTTTCAAATTACAGGTTTCATCTAGATTTAAACAAAGTAGTTAACTCTGTTCTATTAACGAAATAGTCTAAACATTATGTTTTAAAGTGGCATGCAATTGAATCTATAGATCAGTAGGATTTTGTAACTTAGTTGATATTCTGGGTGGACTTTGCTTAAAATCATTTCTTTTATTTGGCAATGTTTATCCAAGTCTATTCTATCTTGCATTATCATCATTAAGTCTCAACCTATCTTGAGATTTAGATTTTTATAGCATTGACTATTTTTACTGCTATTACAATTACAATTCATTAATCTGCTTGAGCTTTTGAAGTTCCCCCTTGTAAAATGAAATAATTTCATCAGCTTTTTTCTATATTTCCAGGATCTTTTCTTCATTGCTTTTCTTTGACTCACTGGATTCCTGTGTTATCTGCTCCAAGTTGATCTCTACATTGATTTTTTGAGTTTATAATTCGTTTAACTAATGCTTTAAGTCCATTACTTCCTTTTCATGTTGCTCCTAAAGTCGAACTCTATCATTTTCATTGTTCTTAATCATTGTCTCCAATTCCTCTGTAATTTTGATAATAACCTCCTATGCTTTAGCTATTACTATATTTTTCTCTTCACATTCCTCCTCTTTTCTTTTAATCTCCTAACTGGCTTTGATTACTAGCTGCTCATACTCTTTCTTCGAGGCTTTGATTTTTGCCATTTATGAGAGTTCTTAATCTCTTTGCTGAATGGTCTTCTTTGCATTTTATAACTCTCTATTAAGGTCATTTATATCACCATCTTGATGATTTATAAAGTTTTGTAGATCTTGCCTCTCCAGATTAAATTAAGATACCTATTCATTCAAACTTGAAATTTGATTTTGGTAATGCTGAACCTGCTAATCAAATTCAAATTTCTATGAAATTTGTTAATCCATTATTTGATTTTTAAATTTAATTTTTGACAGTATTTACCGATATTACTTTAGGGGTTTTGGGGTTTTGGGGTTTTGGGG